GAATGAAAGCAAAATTGTATTCCCGCCAAAATGATGTGTTAGATTAGAAACATTTCTAAATTGTAGATGGCTACGTTCTGCTTGAAGTCTAACTACGCTGCTTGAGCACCTTGGGGAACGTAACGAATGATTTCGAGTTGCTGAGCACAGCGCCCATAACGTGGTCATCGTCGGAGAGAAGCGTTGCTTCAGTAAAGGAACGCTTGTCTTCCAGCACGGCAAAGTAGTCCAGGATCTTGGCTGCGGCAATTGGTACAACTGGCTGCAACAAGATGGCTACAAATACAGGATCAGTATAAGGGTTAAGTGGCTTCAGCAATAGCGTCACAAACGATAGCTTACCACTCATGCGCGCTGCATCAATGGACAGATACAGCACTGTATCCAGACGCTCTTTCGTTGCTTTATATTCCTCGGATGTCACGTCGGCAGATTTCTTCAGGGTCTTGGACAGAACCCACGGCTCCATGATCGTGAAATACCTGCGGTACAGAAGTGTTAGCAAAAGTGCACAGCATTAACCCGAAATTATCTTCGAACATACCGGTTAACGTCGTGAAGGAAGAAAACAATTTCTTCCAAGCCGCGTGCGAACTGTAGAGACATCAAAGCCGTAAGTAAAAATCGACTACTGCATCAAAAATCAAAAACTTACATCGGGAGTGTCAAACAGCTTTTCGACCTTGTCGCGAAGCGCTCGTCCCTTCGCTACAAGCTCCTTGTCTTCAGGAGTGAGGCGATCAAAATCAGGACGCTTGGGTACAATACCCTTCACGAGTACCGACTTGCCCGTGCTACGAGAAACCAGATTACCAAGCGTATCAGCGAGCTCGCTGTTCGCTCGGTCTTCCAGCGTCTCAGCGTTGAAATCCCCGTCATTCGTCAGTACGCCCTCACGCAACAGGAAAAAGCGAACGAAGTCTGAGCCATACTTCGACAGCATTTCGTGCGGATCCACCACGTTGCCCAGACTTTTTGACATTTTGACGTTCCCAACAGTCCAGTGTGCGTGAGCCACCACCTTTTTCGGAAGCGGAAGTCCAGCTGCCATAAGGAAGGCTGGCCAGTAGATGGCGTGGAACTTGAGGATATCCTTACCCACAATGTGGTACGCAGCAGGCCAGGCGCGGTCAATATCGCCTGGGTATCCAGCACTCGTCAGATAGTTCGTTAACGCGTCCAACCACACGTACACACAGTGTTTGTCGTCATCTGTAAGACACAACATCAACAGTATTAGCTCCAAAAACTCCGTAAAATCTCCTTAGAACCTCAACTTACCCGGCACTTTGATCGCCCATTTGATCTTCTCACTCAATCGCGACACCGACAAGTCCCTTAAACCTCCTGTCACCGCGGCACGCACTTCATTGTACCTCGATTTGGGCACAATCACGTCCGGATTGGCATCCAGCCACTCGAGCAGCCGGTCCTGGAAGGCGGAGAGTCTAAACTTGTAGTTCTCCTCACGCAGCATCTCAACGGGGTGTCCACTCTCCTTGGACACTTTAACCACATTACCATTAGCGTCCTCCTTGTCCTCTACCTGCATCTCGGTCAAGAAACTCTCGTCCGACTTGCAGTACCACGACTCGTGGTCACCTAAGTAGATATGCCCATTGTCCCGAATAGTCCTCCAAAAAGTGTTCACGGCCTCGTGATGGTCCTTGTCGCTTGTGCGGATGAAGCGCGAGTAGTCCACGTTGGCCTCCTGGAAAATCTCGTTAAAGCGGGCGGACACCTCGTCACAGAAGGCCTTGTAGTCCGTCGTGCCGCTCTTCTCTGCCGCCTCCTGCACCTTGAGTCCGTGCTCGTCGGTGCCCGTGGTGAAGAGGACATAGCTGCCCTTAACTCTGTGCCAACGAGACAGCGCATCGGCTAGTACGGCCGAGTGCACGTGGCCGATATGAGGCGCCGCGTTCACGTAGAAGATAGGAGTGGTCACGAAGGTCTGAGAGGGCTTGGCAGCCGAGGTGAAGAGGTACGCCTGCCCAGCGCACAAGCTGCTCCGCAGGCGAGTGATGGAACGACCGAGACGCAGCATCACAAACACCAATTGGATGAAATACACCCTAAATCAGGGTATATCAAATTTTTTTTAAAAAAATTCGGTCGGGATTAAACCCTTATTTAACGTATTTACGAGTTAATCTCTTCATTCGGGACACTCGTGTCGAAGTTGGCAGCGTCTAATCTCGGAAGACGAGCAGCTTTTGTTCATTACTTTTATTCAGTAAAGCGTGCAGCATTGCGTATGCTACATCTTCGTAGTTTCTAAGCAAAAGCCTCGGGCTAGCGAATCATCCATCGAAAAGTTTCCTAACGCGACACTCACCACCACCACCACTCTTTTGTGGCAAGGTGCGGGTAGCCATTCTTCTTCAACCATGAATTATAAAAATTCCCAAACCTCTTGAGCCCCGAGGGAGTTGACCACCAGTCAGTTCCAGCCATTCTTGCCCTAAAGTCGTCCACGAGGATAGTGTATGTTATCCCTTCCTCGGTCAGCTCCTTAAATTTAGGTTCGAGTATTTTTTGCTCCTGCTTGAGGTACCACGCTTTGAAAAGTCTTAACTTCTCCACAATTTTCTGGACGACACGTTTGGAATTCTCGTTCTGGCCGACACCTCGCGCTTCAGCTTCATCTCGATCCCTCTCGTTCAAATTCGCGTTCTTGCCGTTTTCGCCCCTCAGGAACCGCTTGTCTTCGAAGCTGTCGACAGCTAGCTGCTAGGCGGTGTGATGTCAATTTGGTATACAGCGAGTGCTGCTGCAGCTTCTTCACATCGGCTGGATTAGCAACTTGATAGGAAGGTGACCGCAGTCACAAGCACAGCCCACAGGAGTAGGCGCATTGTTCGTTGACTCTGGGGGGTATCATTGGTCCAGAGGATTCTTGAAACGCATCGTATCCTTACGAACTAACCTGTGCACCGACATTGTTGTACAGTACGCAGTGCAGATGAGTATGAGCAAGAAATGGAGAGTTGCTTAGACATTTGAAATTACATTAAGGCAGGTATGGAGTCCATGCTGCAGGTCTGACCGCTGCTTGCATGCATGCACAATTTGAGTGGGGAGAGTTCTTTTACTACAAAAAAGATAATTTCCGAGTACTACTTCATGGTAGCGAAACTGTGACACATGCATTTTTTTATTGAATGAAAAGTAAATGCTATGAAGAACCTCCATCGCCTGTGCAATCTTCATTTCACTGCTTACCTTTTCTGGTGATTCACAAACCGCAGAGCAAGAAGTCCTAACACGCGGTAGACGACGATGAAGACGAAGACAAGACCAAAGTTGCGCCAAATATCGTCATGCTTGGTGTTGAACACGGTCTCGACGTACTCCTTCACAGTGGTGTGGTCGATGCTCAGTGGGGTGTTCGATATCGGCTGACAACCCAGCTGAGAACCACCACCAACGTACTGCTGCGTCTCGTTGTTCCAC